AAACCAGTTACTATGTCTGAAGTGCAGCATCACTTGGATCTTGAGTGGGTGCGTTGAATAATTGAGGGCAAATTTGCCATCCAAAGCCAGTTCCGCTGTAACGGTAAAGCACTTTGCAATAACTCATCCTTTATCATGTGAATTTTGCTATAAATCTGTTGCATTCACCTTTAATAAGGAAAGTGCGCACATCCTAGCATTCTTATATAAGAGAGTATAGTCTTTTGAGAAAGTGTTTCAGAAGTTTTCTATTATCTTTCCTTTCTAGTGCATTGAGAAACGTCTAAGGCTTCGCTTTTGACTCATTCTCATACAGAGAGCCACCGAGTAAACTTTTACGCATTTTTCTTGGACTATTCTATTAGGTGGGTCCGAAAGTTTGTGCCGTTCTTTGGAGCTGTTCTAGAATTGTTCAAAACGAAAATAGACATATCAGTTCGACATTTTCCGATGCAGAATTTATTCCTTTTTTAGCAGCTACGTTTCCGTTGTGACTGCTTTGACGAGCGCTGAGACAATTGCCGATAGACCCTTCTTTACCATGTTTGAAATTTAACTTTCAGGATTTTTATTTTAAACTTTTGGAGGTGCTCTATAATTTCCTGATAAGGCAAACCTTTTGCAAATTAATGCAATTTTTTGAACCTCTCTAGCGTGCTTTCTAGAAATACTAAAATATAGTTTCTTAAGTGACCAAATTTTATATTTGTCTCATTCTAACCTCGCAAAACATCAGACATTGAACAGTTAGGGTACTATTCAATGCATCTTTTTATCCTCTTTCTGATAGCTACTCTTTCTTCGCGAAACATGCGACTTTTGCAGACAAAATCGCTGGACTTTCCAACCTTACGGGAGCGCAAGGTTGTCATCAAAATCCCAAAATCTATCCATTTTCATGTAGTAGTGCTGATTTACTTCGTAATACTAGTGGTAGTAATAACCGAGTTTTGGAACTTCAATATTTTGAGGATTTCGTAGTGTTTGGTACAATGATGTGTCACGCGACTTTTACAAGATTCAATGCTCTTGTAAATAATTTATCGAAATTTTAAAGAAGAAGCTGAGAAAATACAAAAAATTGCATTAATTTGCAAAAGGTTTGCCCTATCAGGTGGTTATCAGTGCACCTTCCAAAGTCTAAAATGAAAATTCTGAAAAGTTTTTGGCAATTGTTTTAGCGCCTGTCGCAGCAGTCCACAACAGAAACATAGCTGGTGAGAGGAAGAAATTCTGCATCGGAAAATGTGTGAACAATTTGTCTAACACCATTCTGAACAATTTCAGAATAGGTCGGAAAAAACGGCAAGAACTTTCGGACCCACCTAATACTAAGGATTTACCCTAGAATATATAAACTCCATGGAAGATCTGCTGTGATGTGTGTAGCACTTTCTGCTTAAAGCACGAGTAAACAGGAAAAGTTAGCCACTAATTTCTCCTTTACTTTTCATTTAGAGATTTGATCACTATACAGTGCTGGCCAAAACTATAGATCCACTATAAAAAACTGCCGTAGTTCATCTGCTTTTCAACGAATTGATCTGAATTTTGGTACAAGCTGTGTGTTCAACAGGCTTCCATCAGTGACCGGAGCGGATCCCGCTTTCGTTAGATTATTCAGGAGAAAAATCAAAAATTTCGAAAAAAGCAGGCTCGAAGGTTGGCCAAAACTATAGATCCACCTAAGATTTTTGTCCGCTAAAGTAATTCTCGACTTCCAAAGTCTTTTGTGCATATACATAGTCGAAAGTCAAAGCAGTGGCTTTAGTCCAGCTGCGACATACTTTAATAAGAAACGCTTATCTGCTCTTTTTACTTAAAAAATACTTTCACGCGTATTTTGTTCCCAAGAATGTGTTTTTATGGCTAATTTCGCAGTTTCTTGACTGGTCTGGAAGCGATAGGTCTTCATCTATCTTATAGATGCTCAGCAGTGTGAGCAGTAGAAAAAAAATTCGAGTTTTCGTATTCAGAGCGCACCCGACATAGACTTAGCCGCGGGCCTTCGCTCGAATTTTTTCCCTTCAAACTCTTTCTGGATTGTTGTCATGAGCGTGAACTGGAGTAATGACATTGTTGGTATGTATTAGAGTGCGTATGCAGTGGTTGCAGGTCTATGCAGATCCCATTATGCATGCTAACTGAGGACTTCATCCTGCAAAAAAGTGATTTGCAACAAGCCTCAAAGTTATTTCTGATTCTGATCATAATGCTTATGTGAGTCACAAGACAACATACAGTAGAGGGTGTATTCACTAATTAGCAGCTAAACAATGGCAAAAATTCAAGGAAGGTACCATTTAGTAAGTACTTTGAGATTGCCGAACACACCGCAAGACTTATGCTTTGAAAAGGTGTTGAAATGCGACTTCGCGAACAATCGTGACTATGACTTGCAAACTTCTTTTGTGTAAATAATGCTAAATAATGTTTCTACATTATTTTGAGCTTGCAAAAATAGCGTACAGCAATTTTGAAGGCAAAAATTCGAGCGAAGGCCCGCGGCTAAGTCTATGTCGGGTGCGCTCTGAATACGAAAACTCGAATTTTTTTCTACTGCTCACACTGCTGAGCATCTATAAGATAGATGGAGACCTTATCGCTTCCAGACCAGTCAAGAAACTGCGAAATTAGCCATAAAAACACATTCTTGGGAACAAAATACGCGTGAAAGTATTTTTTAAGTAAAAAGAGCAGATAAGCGTTTCTTATTAAAGTATGTCGCAGCTGGACTAAAGCCACTGCTTTGACTTTCGACTATGTATATGCACAAAAGACTTTGGAAGTCGAGAATTACTTTAGCGGACAAAAATCTTAGGTGGATCTATAGTTTTGGCCAACCTTCGAGCCTGCTTTTTTCGAAATTTTTGATTTTTCTCCTGAATAATCTAACGAAAGCGGGATCCGCTCCGGTCACTGATGGAAGCCTGTTGAACACACAGCTGTACCAAAATTCAGATCAATTCGTTGAAAAGCAGATGAACTACGGCAGTTTTTTATAGTGGATCTATAGTTTTGGCCAGCACTGTATTAGGTTGTCCCAAAAATGATCCTTTTTCAATTCAGAGTGTTTTTGTTTTCCTAGCAGATTTGGGGTACCATTGATAGAGTGAAGCAAGCTCTACATTTTACTACTAAAATCTTACTAACTGGTAAACGAGGTGAAGTTTGAAGTCAACCCTTTTCAGACTTTAATTATTTTAAGAATAGGATCTCATTCCAGAGGGTCATCAAACAGTAGACATATAATAGTGCTCATAAACATTTTCTGGATTTTTTCCACGCTTAGATTTTCGAAACGAAAACAGTTCGAAGATGCGAAGTGGCCACTTTCTTTGGGTTTTTATTTAGAGCTGGTATATCTCGATCACCAGAGCACTAACAAGGATATGATTTCGAGATTATACTAACTAACCATACTTATACTACTAAGTTATAGTGATAGGAACGAAACGGAAATTAGGTAATTTTTGTTTTTTTTTCTTTACTATACATCCTAAGGCTTGCGGATACAGTCGTGTGGGAGAAGTTGGTGGGGGGGGGGGGGAGTTTGTCATTGGCCTTTCTTTCTTCTCTGTCTCCATCGCGAATGCTAGGAGAAAAAGTTTGATTTATTCAAAAAAACGGTTTACTTTTGAGACGACCTAATATTTGTACATGCTCAAAGTACATGGAGATTCAAGATCATTCACAACATCCCCCTCTGACGGCATTATAAAGTGATTTTTTGGGGCCTGTCAATCAGCATCTATAAAAGAATCGCGTTTGGCCACAAACTCTTTTACTGAGCATAGAAGGATTTTTGCCTATAAACACTTTAACATGCTCTTGGCATAACAAGAAGAGTACTCTGCGTTGATACCACTGCTTTCCTCTAACATCACCAATTTTTGTTACTATGATTTACTCTGCAAAGGCATCCACAATCAGGAAATTAGCTTGTAAATAATAAATGTGGCAGGTGTTAGCAACTAGTTTCATTTCTTTTTTCTTATACACTGGTCACGCGCTTTGCATCAAATATTAGATGAATTTAATGTGAAATCTGTGTCGAATAAAGAAAAATGTGCAGCTTAGTCCTCTAAGGTCCTAAGCTAGTACCAAGATTTCTTTCATAGTTCTTATTTATTTATGTGAAGCCTTAGGTCTCAAGCATTGCGTGCATAACTATTCGACTACCCGCTAGGCCTACCTCGTTCGTTTTCATCTTGCTGACTAAGGGTATCTTCTGTATATCACTGCTAAACTTCAAAAAGAGTGTCATAACACCATGTCACTTTCTAGCACACTCAACCCTAATAGGTAGTGATCGTATTTTAGAAATCAAGATAAAGCTAAGAAATTATTAGAATGTAGAAAAAAATATTTGGCAGTTTTGTAAATCTCTTTCTTTGGCTCGTACTTTTTTCCCGTGAGGACAATTTTTTGCAAGGTTTTTCTAACTTTCTCATGAGATTTTCATTATCACTGATGCAAAAGCGTGACTGTATGAAATGAACAAAAAATGAATTCCAATGTTCCAAAATGAACTAGATTTTTCAAAACTACAGCAGGTGAAAGGATTTCTCCACAAGTGCACGAATACTTCCTCTGCAAACCAGTAGTTCAAGCCAGAGCTAGAGTCAAGGAATCACGTTGGCCAGTTCTTCTGTCTTTAGAACATATTTCAATCCAGCGTTTTTCAGTGTTGGTATAGTAACATTACGTTATGTCAACAACTTATCAGCAATTGTTTACCGCCTCTATTCGCACCACAACTGGTCTGTCATTGTTGCCGGTATAGCAGTGCCCTACTTGACCAAAAGACTGTCATGTCTGTTATCAGGCTTTTCTGGTCTAAAACTCTTTTATGTAGTCGAGAAACTTCACAATCTGACTTTTTTTGATTTTTCCGCTCAAGCATCACGTTTACGTGGTCTTCATACCTATGTTTTAACTGTTCATTATCAGTCTCATCTGGTAAGTCTATGTCTTGAGAATATAGCTTTTAAACTTTCAGTTACCAAGTATAATGGATAACAGAGAAGTGAAGAAACTCGTAAAGGAATCACTGAAGAACTGCCCCATTGGCAAGGAACCAAAGGATATTCAGAATGCAAAAGATTTCTATAAATAGTGAGTTGAAATTCATGTCTTGCTTCATCACAAAACTATTATTTTTAGTATGTTCACAAAGCACCCAGATCTCCGCAAATATTTCAAAGGAGCAGAAAATTTCGATGCCGAAGCTGTACAAAAGAGTGAAAGGTTAGTCGCTTGATCTACTGCGTAGGTCAACATTGAGCGTTTCTTACACATATTCTTGGAATTTCGCAAAGGCTGGGGCAAAAATCGTGTCCGCTTGTCATGCTAGAACCATCATGAATAAAAATAATGCAGAGCACTAGTCGAAAAAGGAAAGCAAGCTAGAGTGACCTCCAGTCACCATAAATTATGTTTTATGGAAGTTTGAAGCCAAATCAGCAAACTTACTTGTAATAAGTTCGGTCCTCCCCTTACGCTCCCCCCCTCCCCCCCCCCCCCCCCCACTCGTAAAAACTAAATATCCGTGGACCCTTCCAGTGGCTACATAGTGGACAAAAGATAATGCATATGAATGTTCTTTTGATGAAAAAAAAGTCTGATGCAAAAATGTTGCCGTTTTCGGCTTTTGTGCTGTTTAATATTACTCGAAAAGTTTAGCAAGCACATGCATATAAACTTATGAATTCACTTACAGAAATTTGCGAAAATTACGAACGGGAGAGTGCTAGAAGCCAAACTTCCATTTAGCAATCGTTCGAGTCGGGTGACCAAAATCGAAGTCGTATTATCAGATATGGCTTGATGAGCTGATTCTAATCTCAACCACCTTACCCTTCCTCGCCGCCAGGGCTCGGCATGAGCCGGCACAAGGAAAATCTTGAAACAAAGTCTCCTTTGATTCCAAATTTTCGTACGGAGTCCCCTTTGACTCTAAACGTAAAAAGGCCTCAAAAACGAAACGTCGACTAAAAAACGTAGCAAATTTTTTGCCTTTTAGACCGCAAAAAACGATATCCCCTCTGCTTTTTGTTCCAAAAACGATGTCTAGCTTGACCCGTGCCAGCTGGTCAGTTGCTCGCCGCCACCCGTAACAGTTCGAAATTTTTTCAGAAAAAGTCATACGCCATTCAAAATCAAGTTGCGCAGCTATATTCAAGAATTAGAGATTCAAAAACAATTTTTTATGTTCGATTAAATATGTTCTCTCTTTCAGTGCTTATTTAGTGTTCTCAAAACCATCTCGACTGAACTCCCTTGAGCAAAACTCCAAGAGATTACTTACGAGCTCGTGGGTTCCCATATCCAAACGCTCACATGTAACTGCTGCTAAAGAGCCGTTCAATATATGAAAGCTACTCACGATTCTTTGGTGTAGCTCAGTATCACAAGCTTATAATATCTGATTTTTGAGAAGCTAGTCTTGCAAGATTTTGGCTTTAGAATTTACGTATTACGACAAAAATCGATATGTTAGTCTTGGGTTAGTTTTGCCATATTCTAGCACTAAATTCCTGCATCATTTGCAACAACCGAACAGAGAAATTCTTACGACACTTTACAGATTTGATAAGCAAGGGCAACGCATTATACTCGCCATGTACGTCTGCGCTGACACCTACGACGATGTGAGTTTGGATTCGAATGAATGTGGATTGACTTTTGATGAGAATTTTTCCAGGAAGCAGCATTCCGTGCATATGCGCGCGAGACTGTCAACAGACACCGCCAATTCAAACTGGATCCTGCCTTGTGGGAAGTGAGAAATTTATGTAATGGTTTCGAATTTTGGCAATATGGCTATTTTGCAGGCATTTTGGACGGTCTTCGCGAATTTCCTAGAGACTAAGGGAGAACTCACAGAAGAGCAAAGGAAGGCTTGGTTACAACTCGGTGAAACTTTCAATGATGAATGCCAATCCCATCTGAAAGCTTTAGGACTTCCACACAACTGAGTGAAGAGCTATAAAAATTTTAATGTGATACTCATCCCATGTATGCTGTCATTATGTCATTTTTTACCAGTGCAAGAATAAAAACATTTCCGTTATTTAATGTAAAAATGCCGTACAACTGTTAGAGTCAAGAGCGCAAAAAAGCAAAAAATTTGTACGTTAAGGCAAGAAAACGTAACAGTAGCTGTCAAACCCTGCTCGCACAGCTCTGTCAATAATATATTCGTAATCAGCATGTTCACTTACCCATTGCGTCAACTCCAATCCCATAGCTCAAACTTTGTAAAAATCGATAAAATTGATATCGATCAATAACGAAAAGTAGCCTACGACACCCGCCCCGCCTCGAAGCTGATGTGTCAAGCTTGGTCCGGATCGTTTCAGAAATGGAATTTTCCATTCCGCAAGTATGTACAGACTTACAGACAGACATTCAGCTTTACATATAAAGTACATAAACCCAAGTTTTGCAACAGTACTGGCATTTGGGTAAATAAAATATGTATTCAGAGTGTCTAACACTGATGCTAGTGTGCAGGTGTCTACGGGTAGGTGACAATCGGAACCATCTTCAAAATGTATGTGTTGGTTGGAAAGCTTGGTCCGAATCGGTCCAGAGATAGAATTTCCTATTCGGAACATACGTACAGATATAGACACGCACAAGATATATGGACAAACAGACATTCACCTTTATGTATAAAATGCAACCTTCCTCAAAAAATCCAAAAAACATATATTGCCATGGAGTGGGGGCGGGGGGGGGGGAGTCTACTGCTAGTTTATATCCAAGGGAACCATAAGATTTCCTGCACCTTCGCGATGGACATTAAGAAAAATTGTAAAAGGTTCCTTTCTCACGATAAGGCAAACAATGAAGAATTCTCCTCCCTTTGGTAACCCCCCTTCATTTATTGCGCCCAACGTTCTCCTTCGTGGTTTGAAAAGTTTCTGAAATAATGCCCTGCTCAAAGATGACTTGTAAACTAGTGTCTGAAATCAAGTCATTGCTTAATCGTCACAAAATACCTTACAAATCATGGTTCAGCAGGGCAAGAGGATTTGGTAGGATAAGCGACGAAGACTGAACCGCGGTTTTTCCTGCAACCCATGCGAAGGTGTAAGGCAAACTCTGATTCTAAAAAAAAATTCCATATCGCGCCGGTTGCTTCTTTTGGCTGCGGGCATACAGGCTCCTGCATGACGAAGGCGCAATGGCGATATTAGTTGAGCGGGCGCGAACGCGACGCGCGCCTATCCTCACCGTTGTAGATCCCGCACCTCATGCGCTCTGCGGCTAATAACGCCGCATTCGCGCCCGAAGATATTGCGCCTTCGTCATGCAGCAGCCTATACCTCACCGATTTCATCGCCGCGCCATTTGGCATTTTGCCAGATGTCTTCAAATTCAATACGTCAGACCCCAAATGATAGCAGGTATAACATTCGTAGGTCGATAAAATGTCCTATCTTCCTTACATTTGAAAAGCCCTTACAAAGAGTTACGAACGTGCCAAATTGGGTCGCAACTGATATCGCCTGAAGTACGCCCAGGCTTTTGCGACAAAGGTACGATGAGTCGAGCTCTTGTTCCTGCCGCGAGTATAACGCAAAAATATTGGTTAATTTATTTTCTCAGTGACCTTAGGTAGCTCTCTCTTAAACTGTTTTTTTTTTGTTTCGGGCTGATTTGAGATCCATTTCTTTTTGACTCATCGCCGTTGATGACAAATGCGCGGAGTAACACTTACATGTAGCTGAAGGCTTTAGTAAACTGTTTCTGCTGTTTTCTCATCTGATTATGCTCAAGTTTATTAATCGTGTGAGTGATGCGGCTTGTGTATCAGTTTCCTTCAAAACCACCCGCCCTCAACTGCGATGCGTCAAATCTTGGAACTGTTATTTTCCAAACACTCGCACTTCAAAACCAGCATGAAAAACGAAAGACGTATACAAAAACACAAAGTTTGGATCAAAAGGAGTTATAGCTTGACCCACAGAGTGTAGGCCGCAAAAGCGGCAACCGGCGCCAAAGCGGCCACTGGCTAAAAGCTACAGCTGGCTCGGTATGGAGGCTCTCCGAGGAGAGAAATTTACAGTTATTACGGTAGCCATGCGGAAACAAGGAAACATTTGTAACCAAAATAATCAGGTCTGGCAAGGAACATGATGCTCGGCTTGAGCGAAAGCGAACTGCTGTAGCTTTGCCTAGATGGAAATATAAAAGTAGCATGAAATAAGCCTCTTACACTCGTCATCATCAAACAGTAGTATACACTAGTTTAAGATTTTTTAGCACGCCAATTGTAAAATGAGGATTTTGCGATGCCTGTATGGAGTATACAACCTTTGAGAGGCGTAAACGTCAGAACACTAAGAGAAGCATAGTAATTTTTGCAGGTCTTCGTTTCAAACCGGACGAGGCGTACGCGACGTACACGGCGTACTCACACATGCCTGAAGATATTGGACGTACGCTGCGTACGTGGCGTAAAGTCTGCCCCAGTTGGCTTCGGGTCGAACCGTTAGGGCGAAATGCGCATTTGCAGTGCTCGGCGTTCGCGCTGCATATGCACATTGTCGGAGAGAGCGAAAGTTGAAGAGAGGGCAGACGAGCACGCCGCAGGTGACGCAAAACCCTAGCGACGTGGCCTCCCGCCATGCCAATTTCGGCCTGGTCAAAATTGGGGTCACGAACGGTTGGGCGAGGCTGTACCGTAGGCTCCTACAGTCTGGCCCAACCCTTGCACGGCGGACAACTTTGTTCTTGTCTTCGCTGCAGGACTAAGGGTGTTAGCACTAATTATGCGGACAAGTTCTCACATCAGCTCCAACTGCGCCGCGTTCGAGGCTATCAACGCAATTCAATTTTCTACCATAGCCAAAAGCAGTAGGATTCTTTTCAATTAACTTTGTCGTCCCTTAGAGGGATCCTTTGACAGTTGCTAGTAATAACTTTTGAAATTTTTTAAAGATTCAAATTAGTTTTATAAAAATTTTTTTCGGGGGAATGGCTGACTCCACGCCCCCTTTTTCCAGATTTTAGAGGTTGGGGACCCGCAGAAATTTTGAGAAGACCCCAAAAATTTTTTCGGAGTGCGTGGCTGAGGCCACGCACCTTTATTCGAAAATTTTTTTTGTCGCCCCCCACCCCCGCTCCCAAATTTTGGGACCGCCACTGTTATCCATTAAGTTGGCACATACTTAAAATAAGACGTTCAAGTTTTGGCATCGTGTGACTCGCAAGTGAGTTATAAATCTGCACAAACCGTTTGATTTTTTATGGCAAAATAAAAAAAATCTACGCATTTTCTTAAAAGCGGTCAAAATCGAGGTTATGGTGCTATTTGACAAAAACGAAGACGTACAGAAAAAGAATTGAACAAATTCAGCCGGAACTATAGGCAAAATGTTCTCACAAGGGATGGATACTTGGTCGAAGTGGCGTTTCCATACATAATGTATATCATATCATAGAGCATGGAATGCTGATTGCAGAACTGCTTTCGATATTTGCAAAGCGCTTCTGGGAGGAGAGTTATGGCAATTTTTGGTGCAAATAGGCGGCGGCGCTACGATAAAATCTTTGGGAACTTTAGTCCGCGAGCTCAGATGAGGTCATGATTACTACATAGGCGTCTTATAGTACAATGCTTTAAATTCAATAAACTCACTTTAGTCATTACTCCTTTTAAGCGCCCGAAATACTCCAACATCTATTTTTATCTTAGCCAAATCCCTAAATTTTTACTTCAAAAAATTCCTAAAACTTCTCTTCAGATATGCTTTGCAGTTTTGGAAAGCAGATTTAGAATCAGCGGAATCAGTTCCATGCTCTATAGGAGTATATATCCCATATGAACGCCATTTCGACCAAGCATCCTTCCCTTGTCAGATGCTGGCTATTGGCTCAGCGAAGAACGAATTGTAATGAAATTAATTCGAAATTTGGCGATTTCGTGAAATCGAATTAGCCGAATGCGTCAAAATCGTCTCGGAAATCCATCAGTATTCAAGAGTTGAAGCCGTTGAATTTTGACAGTGCGCAATGGGGTAATTTGGCATGCTAAACACGAATACCATATTCAGTTGCTGTTAGGGTTTGGAATTAGTGGTTTTGTGGAACTCAATTTTATAGCAAAATAGGCCTTCACGCAAAATGTATGTCATTTTCGTAATCAGGATGTCGCATAACTCTCCAAACAAGTCTTATCCGAGTCCGTGCCAATTTCATTCTCTTTCCCATTCAAAAAATTGCCTTAGCCTTACTTTCGAATGCGATGTTGGAAAGTCGGCGGAAATGGTTACATTCGTTACACACATAATCATAATAATACCAAAAAGTGGAAGAACATTTCAAAACATTCAAAAAAAGTCATGATGTTTTTATTTATTTGTCACCATTTTCGTAACAGCTGTTATCATACCTATCACCCTGTCAACATCCCAAACCAAGCTTTCAAAGAATATGCTGATTGTAATTGGAAATGGTGTGTTAGCGTCATGGTAACTATACTTCGTATCGTATTAGGTCGTAAAGAAAGTTCTCAGGCAAGTGCGGATTTTTTTAAAATCGCCGTAACTTCAAGCAAATTGACTCTTCTTTCGAGCTACGGAGTTGTTTGCAAAGACAATTTTGTCTGCCATATATATGTCTTGCTGTTTCAGCACCTCACTGCGGTTCACGAGCATGCGTAGAAGGGAAGAAGGTCGTCGCGAATTGTGGCCTACTTGTGCAGGATTATCTCAGGCAGGATGAAAGCTGGAGAGCTCAAATGCTGTAGTTATATAGAAGTCTGCTGGGACTGTTATGGAGACTATTTAAGCCTTTGAGCGACTACCTTCAAGAAAGTTTTTCCAGATGTCTGAAAAATTGACCATTTACTGCTCCCAAAAATGCCCCATTTTTCGAGTAAGTGACTTTGAAGTCTTCTCGTTCTGCGCAGGGAAAACCAAATCTTTGATTACTGCGAGCATTGTGGGGGTAATGCCTTACACATGAACCCATCATCAAGTTGTGGCGATTCCTGCAGAAGCGACATAAGTTGCGAAAAGAGTGCACTCAGAGGCAAGTTCGACAGTAATTGTAATT